TTGACCCCTTTACCTTTACATTCCAGTCATTTGGCCTGTTGCAAATGTCTAAGACATTGTGCTTTTGCAACTCTTTTTACACCCAACTCCCTTTTATCCTGGTTTTCAGATCGGTATTGGTCATAATAAACACCTCATTGTGGAGAGGCCGAATGGAGGCTCCCTGTTTCTAGCCACACCGAGATAGTTCAACATGTTGTGGAATGTGGCGTAGGAGAAAATAGGCCACACACAATCTGCAAATTATGTGAAAAAAGCTTTAATGATAATGAATTCTGATAATGAAAAGAGATCTGGGGTGGTTTCTGCCCGAAATGTTGTGAGTGTTAGTGGCTTTGCAAGAATGTTACACTCAAATGCCATTGTATGTACGTTCTCAAATCAATGTACCTTATTGTATATAAATTGATTTATTGTTTTTATTATTTATTTTATTATATATATATATATATATATATATATATATATATATATATATATATATATATATATATATATATATATATATATATATATATATATATATATATATATATATATATATATATATATATATATATATATATATATATATATATATATATATATATATATATATATATATATATACATAGAAGGTACATTGGGATTGTGAGGATAAATAGGATAGTAATTACAATCTTGTAAAGCCACTAGTACTTGCAGCGTTTCGGGCAGGCTAAATAAATGATAAATAAATTATATAAAACTTACCTAAAGACCATATAAAGAAGATTGCATGAAGAGCCTATGTTATGCTTTCCAATTTCTGAATTGCTTTTAAATACTGAACATGAATGTTTAATATTAAAATAATTGTTCATGACCTTAGTGAGACCAAAACTGGAATATGCAACAGTTGTATGTTGCAGTTTTATATGCAACATACATTTTTATATATTCCAGCTTTATATGCAGCCCATTTCTCAAGAAGCACATCAACAAACTGGAAAAGGTGCAGACATGTAACAAAATGGCTTCCGGAACTTAAAGACAAGAGCTACGAGGAGAGGTTAGAGGCATTAAATATGCCACAGCTAGAATATAGAAGAAACAAGAGGTAATATGATCACTGCCTGGATTTTACTTGGATGAGGTTTTGGTTCTTATTCTACTCCCCAAGCCTGGCCCAGGGGCTGACTTAACTTGTGAGAGCTCGGTCTTACAAGTTGTTGCTCGAAATCAACAAAATTAATGATGAAAATTATTGAAACCCAGAACTTCAAAAACAAGAGGTCATAGATTTAAGCTAACTAAAGAAAGCAGATGAAAAAAAACATTAGAAAGTACATTTTTGCAAACAGTGGTAAACATTTGGAACAAATTAAGAAGGTGGTAGAGTCCAAAACTATCAGCACTGAAGTTTCAAAGCGTTACATGATAGTGATGGGAAGACGGGGACACCATGAGTGTAGCTCTCTTCCTGTAACTTCACTTGGGTAATTGTGTACAGTCAGCTTTAGGAGTCCTTAATAGCCTTGAATGGTTTAAGTTAGGTGCAGTTATTCAGGTAGCTAGTAGGAGCCACAAAACAAAAAGAGAGGCATTTTATAACATTCAGTGTTGATTTTTGTTTATTGAAATGTATCATATTTGGCTAACCAATTGATTATAGTCATTAATATATTTGTCAAAAGATTACAATTAAAATTCTTGGGACATAGTGATAATTAGCTGTGCTTGCTATATTTAGAACGTAGTGTCATATGTTATATTTTGTTATCAGATACTAAGATATCAGTACAGTAATACTAAAGTAGATGTAGAAGAAAAAATGCTAAGAAACCTCGAAAGGAAAAGTTAAATCTAAATTGAGTAAAAATAGAAAATAAATATAAAGTCAATGGTGATTAACGTAAACCCCCACCGCTGCCCTCCTCCTATTTTAAGCAGCTTCACAGGCACGTTACTTATGCTCAAGAGTCATAGAAGTGACGTGGGATTGTGCATGGAGGATAGATCGCATATATGTTTTGGATAATTTTAAAACAAATGCTATAGCACGAGTGTGTACATGTATGAGGGTGCTGTATGATATGTGCCTTAATGTGTATTTCAATGGTTTCATGGTACGTGTACTCGTTTTAATTAAAAATTTTGTTTCCAGAATGTTTAATGATAATTCTTATTTTTTTTTTTTTTACATATAGCATATTTTTTAAAGCTTTGAGCATATTTTGGTGATGTTTTGTATTTGTATATGGCATGCTTGCTTGGGATAATTACCTTTTATAGTACAGTACTATATTGTACTGTATTACTGTTTACATGTGCTCTTTCAATACTCTTATGATTTTTATCAATGTAATGATCTTGTTTTGTAGAGGATCTAATATTTCAGTCATAATTGAAAATGTTGGAAGTTTTCAATTTCTATTATTTTTTTTCTTGAGGTCATGAACAGTGTAAAAAAAAATTTAAGGTAAAGTTGCTGGACTGCTACCAATCTTGGCATATTGTTGCTGATAGAAATCTATATCACCTGCACCAGTGCAGAGAATGAAATGACAACAATGTCATAAACTTTTAGAAAAAAAATAAATCTACATACATGTATTCCCAGACAGTAAAACGTGAAAATTGTTTGGTGGATACTTGTTAAAATATTCCTCCAAACTTATTTTTCCATGATTCAGTGCACTGCTCAGGTGAAAATTATAATAAAGTATAGTACTGTAATTGTTTACTAACAAATTTAAGGGTATTTATTTGGTTTAAGTTTATCATTTATCTTCAGGCACATGTATTATCATTAAACTGGAGATGATACATTGAACAAATGTACAGTATTATGAGAGTAATGGTGTTTAGTTAGTTATACAAAAAGCAACCCAATTTTCAGTCCCTGGATAAAGCCAAAATCAAGGACAGTAAATGCATCTCCAAATCATTCTGAAAATACCACAGATGCATGCACACACATGCTTCCCTGTATTAATATCAGACATTACCAGTCAGTGACTTGAGAGGCATTAAACATAGGTGTTTGGTTTGTAGCCTCCAGATGTATAGGAAGAAGCAAAAATATCGGTAAACAATGTAGAAACACCACTGAAGAGTACTGATACTCTGCTACTATCATATATATCAGATTGTAATGCTCATTGGTTATGAAGAAATGGGGGTCACTTGCACCTGTCGTCACTCCTGAATGTTAATTTAGACACCCATGGAGCCAAATATCTGGGAACTAGGTATATTAATCTGGAAGTTATTGCCAAATAGTATGGAGTTGAAGGGAGGTATAATATACACAGTTATAAGGGCAAAATTCCCTTAAAAATGGGTGATAATTCCTGCTGTCTGTACATCAGCATCAAGGGTGTCCAGACACTTGGTTGTGTTATGAAATTTGGGGTGTCAGTTATTAGTTAATATCTCTATGGGTATTTCATATACAACACCCATTTCAGTATAATTCTTTAAAATAATTTGTTCTTAGATTTGTACCATAAATTATGCAGTAAATCTAATACAGTACAGTACTGTATGTATGGTATAACTATTTCAGTATTGAAATCTTTAGTGGCTTTGCTGAGCTACAGGCTCTGATTCATTAAAGACACATTCAACAATCAAGTATCTGATGACTTTCAGAGGCCTACCTAACACATTACCAGGATTTTGGGGTTCTCAGAGAAAAATGAAGCATGGAGGTCTTAAAACACTATATACATCATAATTAATTTGCCAAGGCTAACTTCTCGGAAAGTTATAAAGTTAGAAGGCAGCCCAAGTCATGGGGCATTGCCTGTTTGCCGTAGAATCACTTTAATCACAAATGTGTAGCCTCAACCCCACATGGAAAATGGAAACTGGGAGCCCTGAGGGTCCTACACAGAAAGTGGCATTTTTACCAATTTCAAGGCTGTTTCTGTATTAGAATCCTTGGAGGATTATGGGGTCTCTGAAAAAGAATCCATTTGACATTGCAATGAAAATGTACAGGGCTTATCCATAGTAAAAACAACCAGAAGATGGCTCCACAAACAAGGAGCTTCATCATGTAACCATATCACCCAAGTGCAAAACTATTACAGAAGAAGCATGGAACTTCCAAATGATAATGGGTAAATAAGATCAAGTTGACCACCAAAATCCCTGAGTCTGTTAACTAGTCACAGATATGTAAACAAAAAAATGCAGCTAAAGCCGCATACTCATACTATCATGCATTACGGCATTAGTATGGAAATGCACATCAGGCTGGCAAAGGTAGACAGCCCCAATTGACCTGGAAGTGAAGAGCTTTGGAACAAGGGGCCAGAAAAGACGATTGACAAAAGAGTGCCATATAGAAAGTGGCATTTCATTATATTCAACACTTTTTTTTTATTTTACTGATAATGCAAATAAATTTGGTTAGAGGCAGCAACTTTACCCTTATTCCTTGTAATAAATTTTTATATTGTTTGAATATACTATACAGTATATCTTAAAAAGAATGTATTTAGGGATAAACTTTACAAGTATGTTGACCAGACCACACACTAGAAGCTGAAGGGACGACGACGTTTCGGTCCGTCCTGGACCATTCTCAAGTCGAGAATGGACATACTATAACGGAAAGAGCCTACCTTTCCTTGAGTTGAGAATGGTCCAGGACGGACCGAAACGTCGTCGTCCCTTCACCTTCTAGTGTGTGGTCTGGTCAACATACTTTAGCCACATTATTGTGACTCTTAGCCTGCATAAACTTTACAAGTTTTCTTTCATTTGAATATTGGATCTTCATTAATTTATGTATTATTCCCATTTTGTCCCCCCCGTCCCCCTTCTTGCCCACAAAGAAAGCACTAGCATGCCTCCCACATCTCAGCATTAGCATGCCTTTCATGTCTCGGCATTAGCATGAACCCTACAAAAGTAGTGATAGGGTTCACCCCATCCACCTAGATAAGCACTCCCTAATCTTGAGTTGCCCATTTTTTATTTGACTTTTGTTGAATGTTTGTTTTTGCTTGCTTTTCCCCCAGACTGCCAGCCCCAAGATGTTAGACTGGCTGTTGAATATTGTGGCCCTCCAAGCCCACTGTCAAGCTGAGGCCAAGTCTGGAAAGGTAGGTTCTTTCCATTATCCTATACCCTACCATCCTTTCTCTCTGTTGATTATACCTCATATATGTTTTAATTCCATCTCTTCACTAATCATAAGCTAGCCCTGGTATTCTGACTTCCGAGATAATGTCCAAAGTATGTCGTTATGTCATGTTTATTCGCCATCATTTGTGAGCAGTATGGCATTATTCACAAACTTCCTTGGCATTGACTTTCATTAGATGCATTAGAAGCGCCCATTTCTACCCAGAAAATGTCTTGAAAATAGTTTTACTATGATCTCGCCAAGTGTTGTATTATGACCCATGGTCTTACGTGGTATACCCTCAACTTGCATAGTCTCTTATTGTATTACATGACTTACAATCTCATGACTTGTGTCCTGGTATGGGAGATATTGTCAGCAGATGTTACCATGAGGAAGCTGAGGGTTATGGAGACTGTCTCACATAGTATGAGCATCTTGGAGTATTGGCTCTTGGAGTACCAGTAAGATTTATAAGGGCTCTTGGCTGATGTGCACACCTCTGGTTTTAAGTTGCTGTTCACCATAGTAAGTGCACAAGATGCATTCCTTAAACAAGAGACCCTACCATGGGCCAGCTAAATAGTCTTGCGAACTTGGGGCCTTCGTTTGATAATTACATGCCTACGTTGGCCAATAAATTGCTGATGCTAACCACTATATGGTGCTCCATTATTTTTAGGTGATCCAGAGACACTTCATATTTGGGATGGCATCACTGGATGATGTTAATTGTTGTTGTAGTACAGTATTTTGATTGTTTTCACAAGCAAAAACCAATCTTTGATTGTTATTTTTGATAATTTACATGCCGTGTTATCTACAATGTGCTCTCACACTGGGAATTAGTGGTATTATGCTGCTTTCAATATTTTGATTATGGGCATATAAATTCCATTTCTATAAATTTCAGCCTACCGTATTACCA